GGTAGGAATGCCACTTGGGTCGCCATGAGTGGGCCATTGTCCCAGGTAGGTTGGCCAGGTGTGACAACATGCAACAATAGTCCCCCAAGTTCAAGTATATTCATTTATGTTATGCGTGGACTTTAATGGAGTAAAAATTGAAAGAATTTTTGAACCCCGAATATCTAGGTTGAAGATATTTCTGCACGAGCCGGGTAAAGTATACTGAGTTTATCATCGTAAGCGACATCTCTGCTGCAGCCACATATGCGGTCATTCCTTCACAAAATCTTTCCTATGAATATACAAAGGTGGAAAAAGTAGAACGAGAACCGCCAAACATTAGTTCGGTCTGTTTCGAGTCGAGGTCGACTGGTTTCGCTTTGTAACTCCTTAATATGTGTCTATTCAAATGTGTTGTGCTCGAATTGGACTTCCAACTAAGTTCTTTTCCACAGTAATTGTAACATGCTTTCCAAATATCAACTCCATTTTGAACACCAACTTTTTTACGAGTCATATGTTGCCAACAATCTGAAGATTCTTTTTTTGACCTTTTAATTTCGAGTCCTTCTTCCTCTTCAATATTCTCCAAATCAATTGGAACATTTTGAAATGCATCGTGGTAACCGGATGGAGTACTCGAGCTACCCTTAAATTGATTAAACTCATCACTAGCAAAATCCATCTATAACTAGTATAGTATAAAATACAGAATATTAGAGTATGAGAATGAAAGAAATTGAATATGAGATTGAGAGCAAAGAAATTGGAGTTGAAACTTGAATCTATAGTACTGCAAGTTAAAATCTATTGAAACAAATTGATTTGAAACTTAAAAATTTACCCCTATTTACAGCTAAAAAAATCAATTTTACCTCCAAATTTGAAATTTAAATTTGAAATATGAGTCTCGTAAATTGAATTGTAAAACACAGTAAAAAAATTAGACAATTTAACCTATTTTTTTAACTAGGCTGCCTTAAGGCAGCATCAGCTACTGTTACAGGTAGCTGTCTTGACCATTTTTAAATTAAAATTTTTTTTTTGTTTGAACTTTGAATTTCAGGCGGGCTTTGTCACAGGCCACCACAACGGGCCGACTCGGGCTCGGGCCAACCCCCCAAAATGAGGCTCAGCCCGAGCCTAGGCTCGCTCTATCCGAGCCACGAGTCGGGCTGGCTCGAGCTTTTCGCGAGCCGCTCGAGCCGGTTTGACATCCCTACTTATAGGTCACAATGTCATATATTGTTAAATTGGTTACAGATAACCAAAAAATTGGTCGCATACACCAAATAACGATCACATATAATCGCCACCAACACTATCGCCACTGTCACTACGACCACAGTTAAATACTTGGTCACAGATAACCAAAAATTTGGTCACATACACCGAATAGCGGGATACATACCATCACCACCAACACTACCGCCACTGCCACTACGATCACAGTGAAAAATTTGGTCACATACACCAAATAGTAGGCACATACCATCGCCATCAACACTAACTCCAACTGAAACGCACCAACATTGGCACCGGTTCCACCACTGCCATTTTGCAACCCACCATCAACAACCTACAATACTAACATCATAGCACCACCACTAAACAACCACCAACACCATTGGTCCAGTACCACCTCACCACCACAACCACCACAATCACGCGCTGCACAAGAAGTCACTATGGTGGCGGTGTGCCATTCACAGTCATCATGCGGCTTCTGTAACGCTACGAACTGCACTGTGAAACTACGCTCAAAGGCGATTGTAGTGAAATCGTCGCTTGGCGACGGTTGCCATTTGCAAGAAAGAGTATAGAGAGATAGATAGAGATAGAAGAGGGGAAGAAGAGAGAGACCGCTCTGCTGTGATCCGACAACGGCGACCATGTGGAGGAAAGAAGATAGAGAGACACACACACACACAAAGAGAGAGAGAGAGAGAGAGAGAGAGAGCGTGTGCCACTTACTGTATCCACTGTGATCTGGTGGCGATGGTAGCGATGAGCTCCATTGATCTGGAGACGACGATTTTAGAGAGACTGACAGAGAGATGACGGGAATGAAGAGGGAGAAAATAATTAGAGTTTTAAATTTTAATTGGATGAATGGGATGGGGTAAGAGTATATTAAAAACCTGATTTTTTGAATAAGTATACTTTAGATCTTATTTTTGAAATCTGATCTTTAAACACCTGTATGGGTGTAATTTCCACTTTTAAGGTTGATCTGTTTAAACAAATTGTCATATTGCTGGATTAAAAAATAAGGTTATTTTGTGCTAATTATCCAATATTTAAATAAAGTGGATTTTTGTGTGTGCGAGGTCCTTTTTCTAGCGAAAGAACAAAAATGGTTACTTTTTCAGAAAGCTAGGAAAGTAACCACTTTTACATTTGAAATCATAGTTATTAAAATTGGCCTGGTCTGAACGTTCGGCCCAATAAATTGGTGACTCAGGCCCTCGCTCGAGTCGGGCCAGCTGATTTTATATAGATGCAAGTGGCCCATTCAAAATTCGAATTTGATCGGGCCAACATGTGGTTTTTGAATAATTTTCAGGTCGGTTCAGCTCAGTTCAACCCGGTTGATTTTTAAACCAAATTTCAAAACTCTTTTACATTGAAATTGTAGGTACCAAAGATTTGAACCCTTGACCTCTAAGTAAGTAGAACACAACCTCACCACTAATGCAAGCAACACTTTATCGTCTTTTGTTTAATAAATTATATCTAACCTATGAATAATTTGCTACTTCTAGAAACTTTTTTAAAGAAATTAGTCCAACATTTACATTCACTTTATAATTTCAAATAATTATTTTATATACTTATTTTGTTTGAAAAAATTAATTTTAACTAAGATAAATTGAATAGATGATACACAAAATTTTTGTCAATAACTAGTAAATAATTTGTAAATCATAAAAAGGGAAAAATATATTTTTAATATAATATACAAAATTATAAAATCAAAATTTAACCATTAACACTAATAAGGCCTCGTTTGTTTTTTATTAATGTAAGAATGAGAATGAAAAATATAGTTATTACGGGTCCTACACAAAAGATAGAAATTCAAATATGGCGATTGGATATGATGGATAATTGTCTTCTTTTTCATTTTAATGACCAAATAATGAGAAACAAACAGGTGCTAAATGAGTTCAAAAAATCATTAATTTAAATTTATAGAAAAATTAGTGACAAAGAACTTGAAAACTTTAATTTTGTCTCAAACAAAAAAATAAAAAATTATACTTTAAAATTATTAAATTATTTTTATATAATGACCCACCGATCCGACCACCGGTTCATCGGTCCGGCCAGTAACCTAGTGATCCTGTACCTTGACCTAGTCGATGTCCGAGTTGCGTCTGATAACTATGTTTGAAATGATAATTAAACTTTTTTTTTTTGATAAATTTTATTTGGCGGGTTCACAATTTTTAATGCAAATCTTAAAGCTTTATAAAAAATAAAAAATAATAAAAAAATAAAAATCATTTTGCGAAACAATTGCTAAAACACTAGATAATTGTAAATGTCTTGAAAATTTGTTCTAACATCGTTGAAAGATGATATACAATTCTAACTGAAATACACTTCGATCAATTAAGACAATTTCAACTTTCTCGAGTTATAGGTGAAACTATAAATCGAACTATCTTTCAATATTGTTAAAACTACCTAGGGTACCACCTAATTTTCTCACGAAATCAATATTATAATGAAAGCTTTTAATACTTATCTCAAAAGTTATGCATTTATTAAGTAATGATTAATTTTAATGAAAAATTGAATATTAAAGTTAATTTTCCATAGTTTTTTTTAGCTCATGTTTCACAATCATTATTTTGGTAAAATGAAGTTTTTTAATGGAATTTTGCTTTTTGGAGAATGTGTAGTTAAAAAATAAAATAATTTTTTTATTTTATATGCAAAATGTTTTATTGTATTAATGTGTGGTTAAAAATAAGTATATAGGAAAAAATTGAAATAATGATTGTCAAACCTAGACTTAAAAATAATAATTTTGTTGATATAACATGATGGAGATTTGAAATGAAAAAAAAGGTAAATATTGTTTTCGTGATTTCTAGACCTATTTCACGAGAATAATTCTATTTAGTTCTATTGGAGTTATAACTTCAATATATGTGATCTTAATGTGACATTAAATGATAAATATAATTAAAAATTAAATGAGTCATTTAATTTCATCCTTCATTTAACCTATCATAGAACACCATATAAATTGAAGTTATAACCCTAACATCATCTCCAAGAAACAGTTTAAACATGAAATGTTATATATTTTAAAGAGTTAGCTCTCAAAATTATGTTTCAATTGACTCTTTAAATTAACATTTTAATTTAGAGAGCGTATTTAGCTATTCAATTTTGATGAGTCAAAGTCACTCTCTATAGTTAAATACATTCAAAGTATTTCAAATTTTAATGTTGAAAAATAATAAAATTATCTAGTGAAAAATTAATTAAATAAAGGATAGAGAAATTAATGAATATTTTTTGAGAATCGTAAAATTGAGTGTTAAACATAAAAAATTTATTGAAATGAATAGTGTTATTTGCAACTACTCATTATCGTAATACTTCAAAATTTACCGTTCAATTGATAAAAATATGCTTTTTGAAAATCTGGAGTTTTTGAAGATCCTCTAATGGAAATAGAGTTGCTCATAAAGGAACTTTCTATTCGAATGTGTTTGATTATCATGGAAAATATCATCTAGAAAAAAAAATATTTTCCATTTTTTAGGGAAAATAAAAATCACTTCTACCCGAGGAAAATGTTTTCCTTAAAAACAAGGAAAATTAGACATATTTTCAGAAGTTGAAAAATATTTTTCATAAAAAAAATAGCAATCAAACACTCTAAACAAAAATTTGGGTGAAAATTTGATATTTTTCATGAAAAATAAATGTAAACACACCCTTCATTATAATTGCAATTTGCACGGTAGATATAATCAACGGTATGGATCTGAAATAACTGATAAACGCCACGCGCCCCCTTCCATCGAGAAACCCAACAAACTAATTACCCTTTCTTATCCTTTCCGACAAACTAGTGACAAAACATTCAATAATAATCTTCCCAAATTCCCAATTCACGTTTTACTCGTATTGTTCGATGGAATCGAAAGATGGGGTGGTGGAAATAGACCGCCTGGAACGGGACTTATTGCTGCCAGGCGCCGGTTCAAACAGTGGCTCTGAACCGCCTGACAATCCTAATGAAGAAGAAGATGAACCAGTTCTCTACACAGCGTCGTTTAAGGAAGCCGAAGAGAAATTCGTGAAATACCAAACGGTTCAATGGGTTTTGTACTCGTTGCTTTTGATACTGGCATGGGGCATCGGTTTGTTCATGTTGCTTTATTTGCCGGTCCGGCGTTACATTTTGCGGAAAGATATCCGGTTTCGTAAACTCTACATCACTCCCAATGCCATTGTTTACAAAGTAACTTGTTGAATTTTTTCGAAATATTTTATTATTTTAGTGTATTGTTTTTAATATACGGTTTTGGGGGTTTGATGCTACTTGCTCGATTTAATTTGTTTTACTTCAGTTGATTTAGCTAGCCCAATGTATGTGGGAAATTTCCCAAAATTCAAGTTCAGAAATTATTTTGTGACCAAGTTTTATGATCATTACTTTTTAAATAGTCAAAAGCAGATATTGCCTTGATAGGATTAACAAAGACGATTTGGTTGATGTGAAGGACCATGTTTGGTGATGCTAAGTTAGATTCTTCAGTAGGATAAACGGAGTGAAAAGTGCAATTCGATTATAAGAAGGGGGACTGTCTACATATTTTGTTCATCATAGACTAAGTTGTGCGTATATTGTTGTATAATTTTGTCGCCCATTTGATTAATGCTGAGTTTTACAGGTTAAAAGGCCGGTGCTGATTCCCTTTTTGGGGGTTTTGAAGAAAGAGAAGTATGTTCTACTACCTTCAGTTGCTGACGTTGTAATAGAACAAGGTAAAAGTGAGCAACCGTGATCTATTTTGTTTTGCATTAGATAATAATCTATTCATGGTAAGAGTAAGGGGTCTGCAATGATGTGATTTTGGTGGGAAACTAAAAATTTGTGGCTCAAACTTACATTTACACTGGTGGGTAAAGGGCTCTTCGTTCCCTTCTTTCAGATTTTTCATAAATAAAAATGAAACTAGCAGTTCTCTAATTACCCGATCTTATTGTTCTTGTGAGCCTTCATGGGGAGAACAGTGTCAACTGCTCAATCAATGTTAGTCCTCTGATGTTGTCAACTAGTTTTGTGGACAGTGCACTCATGTTTTTCAACTTTTGTGTTTTGATCTTACCATCGCAGGCATATAATTACTTGTTTGAATCAAAACTAATTATCCCCCTCCCAGTCTATGGCAGGAAGTTAGGGATTTACTTGCAAAGTATTTTGGAGGAGAAATGATGCTTGTCTGTAGTAGCTTGGTCCTGTATTCTTTTTGTGTGTTTGTTATAATTCATTTTGAAGTGTCCTATTGTAATATTTATTGTTTTAAGGGAAGATATCACTCTTAGGTCTCATTTTCTGCTACTCAGAAGGCTCTTACCATTTCATCTTTTAAAACTTTTGTTAAATTGATATTTTGTCAGGATATTTACAGTCCCAATTTGGTGTATACTCTATTAGAATCGAAAACATTGGTGTGAGAAGGCCCTCAAGTGACGATGTTCATATCAAAGGAGTTGCTAACCCTCATGATTTCAGAAACGTAATTCTGTGCTCCAGTTGTCATCATTGGAATCTTCTTTTTATTTTGAGTAAATAATTGTTTACACCCTTCTTTTCATACCTTCTCTAGGCTGTACTTACGCGCCTATCTAGCATGAGAGAGGAGGTTTTATCTAGACAAGTTTCTGCTATTGAAGATGTTCCAACTTCGAGGATTAGTCATTCGCCAGTTCCTTTGGTATTCTAAAAATACTCCTATCACATGAAACATTCCTTGTCTGCTCTATGATTACTCGTATTGAAATCCTGGCATTTTATATTATAAAGTATTATGCTTTCAACCTTCATCGATGTTGTTTTTGACTCTCTTCCTGCCTCCCTTCCCCCAACCTTTGCTTTTCTCCTTTGTTTCTATTTATGTTTTCAGATGTCCCCTTCAAAACCTCCGAGGCCTGATTCATTAACAATTTCCGGCGAGCTGGCAATCTTGCAAAAACTAGAGGAGGTTGGCAGTTCAGTAAAGGTTAGAAGAACTGAGTCGCCTTTATCGAGTGTCTTCTCTGTCTTGTTATGGAACTTATGGGAAAATTCTTGCAGAGAGTTCAAACTTTAATTGAAGAGCAGAACCCTTTCTAGAAAAAAAAATATTTTCCATTTTTTAGGGAAAATAAAAATCACTTCTACCCGAGGAAAATGTTTTCCTTAAAAACAAGGAAAATTAGACATATTTTCAGAAGTTGAAAAATATTTTTCATAAAAAAAATAGCAATCAAACACTCTAAACAAAAATTTGGGTGAAAATTTGATATTTTTCATGAAAAATAAATGTAAACACACCCTTCATTATAATTGCAATTTGCACGGTAGATATAATCAACGGTATGGATCTGAAATAACTGATAAACGCCACGCGCCCCCTTCCATCGAGAAACCCAACAAACTAATTACCCTTTCTTATCCTTTCCGACAAACTAGTGACAAAACATTCAATAATAATCTTCCCAAATTCCCAATTCACGTTTTACTCGTATTGTTCGATGGAATCGAAAGATGGGGTGGTGGAAATAGACCGCCTGGAACGGGACTTATTGCTGCCAGGCGCCGGTTCAAACAGTGGCTCTGAACCGCCTGACAATCCTAATGAAGAAGAAGATGAACCAGTTCTCTACACAGCGTCGTTTAAGGAAGCCGAAGAGAAATTCGTGAAATACCAAACGGTTCAATGGGTTTTGTACTCGTTGCTTTTGATACTGGCATGGGGCATCGGTTTGTTCATGTTGCTTTATTTGCCGGTCCGGCGTTACATTTTGCGGAAAGATATCCGGTTTCGTAAACTCTACATCACTCCCAATGCCATTGTTTACAAAGTAACTTGTTGAATTTTTTCGAAATATTTTATTATTTTAGTGTATTGTTTTTAATATACGGTTTTGGGGGTTTGATGCTACTTGCTCGATTTAATTTGTTTTACTTCAGTTGATTTAGCTAGCCCAATGTATGTGGGAAATTTCCCAAAATTCAAGTTCAGAAATTATTTTGTGACCAAGTTTTATGATCATTACTTTTTAAATAGTCAAAAGCAGATGACAAAGACGATTTGGTTGATGTGAAGGACCATGTTTGGTGATGCTAAGTTAGATTCTTCAATAGGATAAACGGAGTGAAAAGTGCAATTCGATTATAAGAAGGGGGACTGTCTACATATTTTGTTCATCATAGACTAAGTTGTGCGTATATTGTTGTATAATTTTGTCGCCCATTTGATTAATGCTGAGTTTTACAGGTTAAAAGGCCGGTGCTGATTCCCTTTTTGGGGGTTTTGAAGAAAGAGAAGTATGTTCTACTACCTTCAGTTGCTGACGTTGTAATAGAACAAGGTAAAAGTGAGCAACCGTGATCTATTTTGTTTTGCATTAGATAATAATCTATTCATGGTAAGAGTAAGGGGTCTGCAATGATGTGATTTTGGTGGGAAACTAAAAATTTGTGGCTCAAACTTACATTTACACTGGTGGGTAAAGGGCTCTTCGTTCCCTTCTTTCAGATTTTTCATAAATAAAAATGAAACTAGCAGTTCTCTAATTACCCGATCTTATTGTTCTTGTGAGCCTTCATGGGGAGAACAGTGTCAACTGCTCAATCAATGTTAGTCCTCTGATGTTGTCAACTAGTTTTGTGGACAGTGCACTCATGTTTTTCAACTTTTGTGTTTTGATCTTACCATCGCAGGCATATAATTACTTGTTTGAATCAAAACTAATTATCCCCCTCCCAGTCTATGGCAGGAAGTTAGGGATTTACTTGCAAAGTATTTTGGAGGAGAAATGATGCTTGTCTGTAGTAGCTTGGTCCTGTATTCTTTTTGTGTGTTTGTTATAATTCATTTTGAAGTGTCCTATTGTAATATTTATTGTTTTAAGGGAAGATATCACTCTTAGGTCTCATTTTCTGCTACTCAGAAGGCTCTTACCATTTCATCTTTTAAAACTTTTGTTAAATTGATATTTTGTCAGGATATTTACAGTCCCAATTTGGTGTATACTCTATTAGAATCGAAAACATTGGTGTGAGAAGGCCCTCAAGTGACGATGTTCATATCAAAGGAGTTGCTAACCCTCATGATTTCAGAAACGTAATTCTGTGCTCCAGTTGTCATCATTGGAATCTTCTTTTTATTTTGAGTAAATAATTGTTTACACCCTTCTTTTCATACCTTCTCTAGGCTGTACTTACGCGCCTATCTAGCATGAGAGAGGAGGTTTTATCTAGACAAGTTTCTGCTATTGAAGATGTTCCAACTTCGAGGATTAGTCATTCGCCAGTTCCTTTGGTATTCTAAAAATACTCCTATCACATGAAACATTCCTTGTCTGCTCTATGATTACTCGTATTGAAATCCTGGCATTTTATATTATAAAGTATTATGCTTTCAACCTTCATCGATGTTGTTTTTGACTCTCTTCCTGCCTCCCTTCCCCCAACCTTTGCTTTTCTCCTTTGTTTCTATTTATGTTTTCAGATGTCCCCTTCAAAACCTCCGAGGCCTGATTCATTAACAATTTCCGGCGAGCTGGCAATCTTGCAAAAACTAGAGGAGGTTGGCAGTTCAGTAAAGGTTAGAAGAACTGAGTCGCCTTTATCGAGTGTCTTCTCTGTCTTGTTATGGAACTTATGGGAAAATTCTTGCAGAGAGTTCAAACTTTAATTGAAGAGCAGAACCCTCGAGCGTCAGAACCAGTGGATTGAGGTAAAATTAATCTGCAAAATACATGACGTGTTTGTTAAAACTTTCTAATAAAGTATTTCTATCTCCGAAGAAGAGTTGCTAGATATCACATTTTCAGAATCTGGCATCTGAATTAATCAGAATGGCTGGCTTAAAGTAACAGTGAAATTTTAGATGCTCCAGTTTATGGATGGTTCTTGTGTGCTTCATCCATATTAATTTATTTAGTAGAGACTGGATGCAGGAAGCTAATTGGAAATGGCCTGTGAGTGATCTGTTAGCAGAAGGATGCTCTGTTTAATTTCTGCCACAAATCTATGTAATATGATCTTCCCATGTGTGTCTCAAATTCAAACTGCATGATGGTTGGCATCATCTCTTTTTTTATTGTTGTAAATAGAGAGGTTAATAAACAATCTGTTCGTATACAATCATGCTTTTATGCCACGCTAAGGTGAAGGTTTGACCAGTTCCTTCATATGTTGTGTTTAAGCAGCAAAAGGCTCAGCAACCATCCCGGGTTTGTGACATAGTTACTTGATGTAAGGATTTTACTAGAACCAACTTCTTGGATATATACTTTGCGGGAAAAGGCATTGACTTTAATAATGTTTTGGCTTAATTTTACAACATGATTTAGTTCTGACAATGTGGTGCCATATCAGCTAAGCTGGATCTTGAATTGCTCAACTTCTGAAGCTATTACTGAGCTCCATCAATCTCTTGGGTAGAGGAGATATGTTTTCTTGTGTCTTCTTCAATAGTAAGTGGACTGCTAAGCTTAAATGGAAGAAAAGACACCAAACCTACTTTATGTGTTTTGTTGACTAACTTTACTTTTGTGATGGAGGATGGTGCTTTGTTTCTGCGAAAGAATTTTCTTTATTAAGCAAATGCATCTTGTTAGTGCAGACGCTGATACTTCAGCTTGCTGCTACTTTATTTTCCTATTATGTCACACAAGCGAGTTTTACATTGTTCTTGCAATGTGTGTGTAGTGCTACCAAAGGTTCATTTCCCCTCTATTGTGTGGGTTATAATGTTCGCACTGAATATTGTGTACTTGTTCAGTGTCCATTTCCGAACTTTTGTATTCCATCTTTTCCATAAAGACATGCTCGCTTCCATTTTCATATAAATTAAGAAAATGTTGTTAATATAGCTTGAAATATAAATTTTACTTTTATTTTTCGCAATATATCCTTATATTGAATAATTGTTTAAATAGGAATATTTCATATTTATTGATAACAAGGCATATTAAATAGGGACATATTAGAAAACTAAGAAATCAACTACACTCTCAACAAGAAAGTGGTCTATAATTTGGGACAAATGAAAAAGAAAAAAGAAAAAAAGCAAGCCTATCTTTACAAGACGGATAAAGTATCTATTAAGGACACCTTTTTATTATTTTTGTTGCTATTTTAGTCATTGTCTCTTGTTCAGTCTGATGTGTTTTAATAATTATAAATGTTATGTACAAAATATTATCTAATTTTCAACTGAAATTGTGCTTGTAGGTGTATGATTCTTGAGCTTTCTGACTATTAAACGAGTATTCATCTGATATTATGAAATAAATAAATAAATCATTTTAGATTAGATATCTTTAGAAGCTGGAATCCCTGCATTGCTTGTGACGGAAATTCTGAGATAGGGAAGGAAGAGATTAACTAGGCTAAGTTATCCAAGTTTTAGTAGTTATACTTTTCCCTGTCAATTTGTATGTGTCTAGAATTTGGGTTTTAGTGTTAAGAGACTTCTTAAAAAAAGGTTGAACCCCAACCTTGAGGGTCCCCACCGCCCCGCCTTTGAAGTATCGTGAGGGAGGTAAATCGTGTAAAGAGACTTCTTGATAATAAGCCACGCCTTCCGGCCCCACATCCCTTCTCCGCTAGCATCCATTTCTTCTCTGCCACTCCCACCTAACATGTTTATTGCAGTAAAATTAGCTGGTACTTGTTACGTCTATTTTAATCACTGTCTAATAGGATCACCTTGTAAACACTGATTGCACCTGCAAGAGGGGCAGCGTAATCTCTCGGGCCACTTCAATGGTTTTGTTAATGAAGGCTCAAGGATAATAGAAAATGAACTCTCTTAAGATGCCCGAGAGTGCGCTAAATATTGTTATCTGAAAATTGCGAGAGGTCCCTTGTGGTTGATCTTTTTGGACTGTTTAGTTGAGTCCTGGTAGATGTTTATCGACTGTCCTAATAAGCTTCACATGCTCTGTTGATATTCTTCTCCCTGGATTGTGAATCTGCGATACTGTGAAAATAAATTCTGCCTCCGGTAAAGATTAGTCTAGCCAACTGGACCATATATGAGGGTCCGAGAGATTGAATGGGCATCGACCAAGGTGTATGATGGTCTGGTTCCGACTGGCGAGTAGTTATCCAAGACATGCTTTACTTGCTAATAATGTGATAGCAAATAAAAATTTTCTGATTAGTGTGCGCCGAGAGATTTATCCATATAGGCATGTCTTTCATATTGCATTTTGTCTGCGTTGATTGCAATCTGCTTTCCATTTTAGGAACATTCAGCTTAGCTATGAAAATATTAATAAAGTTTTTCGATAAATTTACCATGCTTTGATTGCTGGTGGTGGTTGAATTTATTTATAGAAGAAAGCATTAGCATGTTACTTCAATTGTTTGTGATGGTTACTGTTATTATGCAAGTTGGCATGAAACCAATTACTAACCAAATTAATAAGCCACATTTCTTAAAATTCATTTTTTTTTATTTTTAAACTCATTTTCGATCACATATTTTATAGATGCTTTTGTCAACTTTACAATCACGTTATTCACTAACTTTTATCAAAATTTACTAAGAATCTAATTTCTATTCAAATCAAATAGGGGTTAAAATTGTTCAATCACATGGATTGATAATCACTTGGTGCATGTTAGAAGGTACGACTGCATGGTGCAACTGTTTCATCTTTAGTGCTTGTTAAGTAAAAAAATTATTTTAATCATAATTTATATATATATATATATCATCGAAAGTTTTTTCAAACAATCTTGTAATATTGTATAGAAGTATTTCTCCCTACTGTTATAGGGCTGCACTAAAAAATAAAATAAAATAAAATAAAATAAAATTTGTTAAATTGCAAATCAAATCGAAGCTCTTTGATTTTAAATTATTGGTTTGGGTCCACATGGACTTGTGGTTTTTTTCCCTCAAATTGAACCAGATCATTTGAAAATGATTTGATTTTGATTTTGATTTTCAAAAATCACATAAAATTGAACATAACTATTTTTAAGTTTTTTAATTAAAATATTAATTTTATTAACCATAAGAATGAAGGATGAAGCGTGTCGATTGTGTGAAAATGTTAAAGTTCTCTAAGTAGTACTTTTACCTTTTACTTTCAATTAGATAATGAAATTCGTTAATTCCCAATAAGTATAAACTCTATCAATCTTTGTAAATTTAAACATATCCTAATCAATTTTTATTTAACATCTCACTAGCAAGACATAATGGGTTTTAGCCAAACCATAATAACAGGATGAGATTCTATATTTACCAATAGCTATGTGATAAGATGAATGTCAAACAAGAAAATGTTAATAAACATGAAAAAAGATGTATCTGTTCTATTAACATCCTTTAGGAAATAACTTTGAAAGCAATTTATTCATGGATTTCATGGTAAATATTAATGTAATTTAATATTTAACATTATCAGTTTTCGTTTACACTTATATTTTAACTTCTTTTAAATATATTACTATAATGTCGATAGTTAAATTGAGGATTAAAATCGAACCAAACCGTAAATTATGATTTGGTTTGATTTGTTTTGGAAAATAAATGGTTTTGTTTGATTTGAAATTTTTTCAAACCGCATAAAATAGTTTGAGTTGAAAATATAGCATAAACTGCCTAAACTGAATTGCGTTCGCCCTTATACCATTATAGTGTTGAAATTGTATTGAGTGGATTAATGTGGGGGTAAATTCCCTTAGTTGTACTTCAATTAAGATATATACGCTTAATTTCAATTGGATAATTTCATCCAATTCCGTCATTTAGATTGATGGAATCAACAATATCACAGTTAAAAAATTATGATTGTCATTTGTTCGATTAAAGTTGCACTTATTTCACGCTAGCGATAAACAATTACGTGTGATAATCATCATTTACTTTTCGTCATGTCATCATTTCTTGTCAGTGGAATTGAACGAAATTATCTTATTTGAATCTAAATCAAAGTTAATTAGTTGATTAAAATCAAATTATACTTGAGTTATCCGATGGAGCAAAATTACAACTATCGAAGTGTAGTTACCGTAATGAAATTTATCATTTGATGATTGATCTTTGTTTCGATACCAAATGAGTTTGGTCGTTTTTTGACGGACTAAACACCAATTTCAATAAAGAAAATTTAACTGGGTGGTTATAATGTGTCTGTCATAGTCAATTCCATCTTTGGGATAGATCTTTAAAAAAAAGGTTGAACCCCAACCTAGAAGGCCCCCATCGCCCCGCCCTTGGAACATCGTGAGGAAAGTAAATCTCGGGATGTGCTCCAGCAGGTCAGAGAACAAGAGCTTGCATATACACTGGTGGCTACAAAGAGTCCAATTTCATATCTCAGGAATCGAATTCTCATACTGCGTCTGCCAGTAAAGCCGAGACTACCTCATTCCTATCCTTTGCACCACTGGACTACACTCCTAGAAGCGACCTTCAAGATATTATTGTAGGTGATGCATATGCAATAATTTGTGCGAGTATTTTTAAGAGATCAATTTTCAAATGAGTTTATTAGTTGATTGAGTGCATATTTGTTATGTTGCTTGGTCGTTTAGAGACCTACAAATCAATTAGTCGATAGAATGGCTAACTTGTTCTATGGATGTTACTAGCATATTTGTTAGATGATATTCGAATCAAGTTTAGACGTAGCATGAATTAGAGTTGAAAATTGATTGGCTTACCAGTTCTTCTATTACGATCTTCAAATTCCTTTTTTATTATTACACAAAAATAAAATAAAATTTGTCACTAAAAAAAAGTACCAGCTTGATTGACAAATGTTTAAAACGTTTCAAGGCTTCCAAGTGGGTTAATGATATGAAAATAATATTATAAAGTGTTAAGACATTTTAATTATTTGATTTTAATAATTATAACGTGTAGTTCTATTAAATCTTTAGTTTTATAATTAATTGTCACCCTGTAAACATGACATCTTGCTCTGTTATCATTAAACATAAAGTTATATGGCGTTTATGCGAATTTCGTGCGTGCTTATTCCAAGATTAGCAAAATTGGTAGCTCACACTCCAGCTTGGTTAGCTTTTGGTGATGTCTTGGATTGTTTTGTAAACATTTTTGGCAGTCGATGCCTTAAAAGGATAAAAATTTCACATCGAACAAAAATGAAATAAGTACATAATGTATGTTCGAGTGTTTCAACTCCCCCCTCTCAACAAAATTGACATTTTAAGATAGATTTAAGGGTGGAACCATGAAATTAGTCCTATGAGAACAGTATTTGAAAAAATTATAAAAAGAAAAATAATTTAATAACATAGTAATACAGAAAATGACATACCGGACAATTGTTCCTTTTTGAGTTTTCATACTTTGACATCTTTGTACAATAACTTCATTGTCGATTTATATCTCATCAAAGAAAATGAGACTATTATTCATCCAGTAATGCAATCTATTCTTTACAATGTTTATTTTAAAAAATACTTTCTCACCGTAGAATTAACAATCGAAAAAATTATTATTAGAGTCAAACGCTTGTAAAACAATGGATATGCTCTAATTTCTTTGTCAGAAATAAATTTTTGTGAGATTACTAAGGTCAATCAATCCTTCAAATTCTTTGTTAGTGTGCACATATATAAGTTTCAAGTTTATGTATCAAGAGATTTACTCTTGAATTTATGAATAAAACTTAGCAAGTTGAATCAATCTTCT